TAACATGTACATAAAGATTCTCAACATGATTAGTCGGCTGGGAAATGCATATTAGAACTATAGTGAGATACCACTACACACCATTAAAATGGCTATTATCAAAGAGACTGACAATCCCAAGAATAGAGAAGATGGGAAACGTGCAACCCTCTATATGTTGTTCATGGTAATATAAAATGGTACAGTCACTTTGGAAAACAATTTGGCGGTTTCTTAAAAATTTATACATAAACTTATAAAAGCCGACAATCCTACTCTCAGGTAACTATCTACCCAAGGGTTATAAAAACCTTTGTCCATACAGAATTATACATAAATGTTCACAGTAGCATTATTCATGATAACCAATAGTATTAGGATATTAAGTATGGAATGTCCAATTCCTTAGGTACTAAGATTGAGAGTTGATATCTCTGACATTTCACTTTGACGCTTCTTGGTTTGTTTGTTTGTTTTTAATTGTGAAGATACATCCTCATTCTTTCAAATGCACATTTTGGCCTGTGATTGTCTTTTCCTTTTTAGAGCAATTTTTGTGAAACCATGAATAAGTAAAACATTCGTGTTATCTTCGAGTCTGAGTTCTGTCATGGAACCAATGCAGTGCAGACAGCTCAAAATATCAACGAAGCATTTGGGAAGGATGTGGCTAATGAACGCACAGTACGTCGATGGTATGAGAAGTTTCGTTCTAGTGATTTTAATCTTGAAAATGAACCACATGGATGACCTGAGACCAAGGTGGATAATGATGAGCTGAAAGCTATCGTGGAAGCAAATCCACCTCAAACCACTTGTGAATTAGCAGCAAGGTTTGATGTGACTGTTCCAACAATATTGGACCATTGGAAACAAATGGGCAAGGTAAAGCAGCTCAATAGATGGGCACCGCATGAATTAAACAAGCATCAGAAAAGAAATCATCTCAAAGCTTGCCTTCTTTGCTGTCACGACATAAAGGTGAACCATTTCTACACCATACTGTTACGTGTAATGAAAAATGGATTCTTTTTGACAATCACAAGCGTTTGGCACAATGGTTGGATAAGGATGAAGTGCTGAAACACAGTCCAAAACCAAATATTCATCAAAAAAAGCTAATGGTATTTGTTTGGTGGGCCAGTGCTGGTATATCCATTACAGCTTCATGAAACCTGGTCAATCAATTACAGCAAATGTCTACTGCAACCAACTGGATGAAATAATGAGGATGCTTGCAATTAAGCAGACAAGATTTGTCAATAGAGACAGGCTAATGCTCTCACAAGACCACACGTCACAAAAAAACAACACTGCTCAAACTACAGAGGTTGGACTTGGACACTCTCTGTCATCCACCATATTCACTAGACCTTGCACCAACTGACTGCCACTTCTTCCAGGCTTTGGACCACTTCTCGCCAGGAAAAATAGTCAATTCTCGACAAGCTATGGAAAACACCTTTCACAATTTCATTGCCACTCATTCTCCTGGCTTCTTCGCTGCTGGCATAAACAAGCTACCGTTAAGATGGCAAAACTGTGTCTATAGTTTAGGTACATACTTTAATTATAATTCTTGTTTGAGATATAATAAACTTTTGATTCGAAATTGGACATTTTGTGTTTAATGACCTAATAGAAACAACCCAAATGTCTCTCAACTGGTGAATGGATAAAAAAACATGAAAAATATTCAACATTATGCAGTAATAAAAAGGAAAGAACTGATATATAGAACAATATGAATGAACCTCAGAAACATGATGCTAAGTGAAAGGAGTCCAATGCAAAAATCTGTAGAGACTGAAAGATGGTCAGTAGTTGCTTAGGGCTAGGTCGGAATCGACTGTAAACAGGCAGGAGGATCTTTTTAGAGTAAGGGAAAAGTTCTACAACTGGATTGTGGTAATGGTTGTGCAACTCTAAAAATTTACTTAAAAATCATTGAATTATATGCTTACAATGGGTAGATTTTACGGTATATAAATTGCAATAATACTGTTTAAAAAAATGTCAAGGATGGCCGGGCGTGGTGGCTCACGCCTGTAATCCTAGCACTCTGGGACGCCGAGGCGGGCGGATTGTTTGAGCTGAGGAGTTCGAGACCAGCCTGAGCAAGA